ATTTCCATTATCTGGGAATTTAGTTATACCATAACAAGGATTAATTGCTGGTGATTTAATTTTACAATGATTCATTGCCTGAAATTGAATATAAAATCAATTAGTATTATATAATAATACAGTATTGTTTATTTTGTTTTAATGACGATTACCAACCTCATCAAAAAAACCTTTTCCTGGATTACTTGAATTATTCAAACTTTTTAATACTACATTTTTCTGTTTACGATAACTAAATTCCTTTTTATTTTCATCATAATCAATTATATATCCCCTTGTCCACGTAGTGTGAAATGTCGTCCGACTACTATCTATGTAGAAGGATGTCTGGGGGTGGCGTGGGAGCTGTAAATCCATACATCATGGTATGCCCTTGATATGTTGGCTGTGTGTAACCGGATTTCTTCCATACATACAGTACGTGATACTTTTATTATTTTTTTGAATTTTAAATTGGTCATTTTTTTTGCTAAAGTGTACATTGTTATATAAGAGTTGATTTCATGTGTATAGCTTTGATTGTTATTAAATAAATTGCTGAAAATTTTCACTTTCAGCATTTCTCAGGGAATCATCTAAAAGTGTTTTATTGATTTTTGTGATTCTTTATATATCCCTTTTTAACCCTTTGTTTGCCATACTATAATGAAAGATTTATTAATTAAAAATAAAGAGAAATGATAGTAAGAAGAAGGCTAGAATAAACATCAGTTACTGACAATCTTTGTAGTTATAGTTAAGACAATCAGGTTAGGAAATTTTATTCATTATCTTTTAATTTATTGTCATTTATACAATTGATGGTTGCTAAATTTAACAAAAAAGAATGCAATCTTGAACATTCTACAGATTTGGTACATCTCATTAAATGTTTAGCATGAAAAGATTATTTGACAATTAAACTTAATATGACAGGTTTAATATTAAGGACTTTATGACTTTGCAATTATATACATGCAGCATGTATCAAATTAACTCCAAATCGCATCAAAATAAATGCAAGGATAGCTTTATCAAACAATTGGGCAAAAAGGTCTGAAGATGGCATTATTTTATTCACAAAAGAAAATATTTCTCTAAAAGTACAAGTTTTCGTAATTAATTAGAAATAATAATCATCTAAATCATCTGTTGTTTTAATTTTTGTGATTAATTTTTGAGATGCCTTCTTCTGAAAAGGAAACTCAATATCAAAACCATATTACTCTTTTAGAACAATGGCATAGAATCTGCAAATGAATTACATGATCTAACCATCTATTACAATATTGAAAAGTTAAAGAAAACGGGTAAAGTTTCACACAAGGGAGGTAATGGTTGACCAAAAATGAACACAAGTAGAGTAGCACATGCAATTGGTCAATATATTCATAGAGATACCTCTTTATCATTAAGAAAATTGGTAAATAAAGTGTCTGCGAATGATGTAAATGTGTCCCACATGACAATATCAAGATATTTAAAAGAGCATGGATATCAAAAGATTCTGGATCTTTAAAGATGAACATCTAGAGCAATGATATAATGCCCATTTGTGTGGGCCTATCTTGGATCAATTCTTTGCAAATATTGAAAACATGGATGGAGTTCATGGAGAATCTTCAGTATCACATCTGGATTAAGAAAAAATTTAGATCATACAGTTCCTGGTAAAAAAAAAAAATTGGCTAGATCAAAAATGGGTCAAAGAGCAGATTTGGTACTATGTGCTTCTTCAGATTTAGGATTTGGTGTAGCAGAAGTGAACGTTTTTGTAAATTCCAAAAGAGACAAAGTGAATTTTGGAAAGTGGCGTCAAATTACAAAATCATTAAAAGATATGTTTGTTCAACTAGCTACTGACATAGATCTGTCAGAAGAAATACAACATGAATTGGTACTTCCTGGATTTATACATGGTGGTAAGCAAAAATATACTCAATCTTTCTTTCATGATTTGTTGTTTGGTTAGTTGGAAGGTTCTTTAAACACCTTCACCTTTAAAGTTTGTCATTTAATGTTATTGGCCAATATAAAAAGGGTAAACAACCAAAATAAATTGGTGACAAGTGAATAAAAGGAACTTTTGAGCTTTGTAAAGAGCTATCTTTATTTGTTTATTTATAGTCATCTGGTACCACCATTAAGTGTGCTTACAGATTTATATACAAGAAAGAGGTGAACCAATGTAAACAAGCCCTAAATTATTGTGAATTGTTTGCAATTAACCAACAAGAGTAGCCCAAAGTAAAGCCATAATTGGCATTAACCAAAAATTATCTTGTAATATCACCAACCATTTAACAAGAATCAGAAAACTGTAAAGTTTATTATATGAAATATTATGATAATTTAGAATAAAAATAAAATAAAAAGATAAATAATTATAACAAATAAATTTATTTATATTAGTCACTCATCAATTCTTTCTTTTTAATTACTAGAATCTAATGTTTATTAATCAATCAAATTGCTAGTAATAATTAATGGATATTAATTTCCAATTAATGATGATGAAATTCTCATTCAAGGAAGCTAAAATCAAAATTATTTGATGAACTATCATTAATTGTATAACTTTTAAAGCATTTTGATCTAGCAATCTCATCATCTAATATTCTACTTGTATGATATGCATATGGATGTGATTTGTGTACTTGTTGCAAATCACTAACACCAACACCAACACCAACACCAACACTGCTGCTGCTGCTACAATCATTACCACGAATTTCCTTATGTTTGTCATAAGCAAAGTCAAAAAGCTCTCTACTAGTTGGTCTTTTTGATGGATCCACATCCCAACATTTCTGCATCATTTGTGAGTAGTCATCAGGCATTCCTGGTAATATTGGTGGTCGTAAACCTTCTTCACATATATCAAAAATTAAACAATGATCATGAGCTCTATCATCAAATGGTGGACAACCTGCAAATATTTCCCACATTAACATCCCAATGCTATAGATATCAGATTTTTTTGTGTTCTTTTTTCCCCTAAGTAGTTCAGGTGCAGCATATGATACAATTCCATAGACTTTACCAGATGATCTTTCATCAACTGGTCCACATAATCCTAAATCTGTAGTATAACAATTACCTCCTTCCACAAGTATATTACCACTATGTAAATCACAATGGATTAAATCTTTTTCATGTATATCATCTAATGCAATACATAAATAATAAAAGATTGTGATCCTGTCTTTTAATGTTAAATTTAAGTGACTTTTTTTCAAATAATCCCTTAAATTTCCCTCTGGTGCATAATCTAAAACTATTGCATAATTTCCATTATCTGGGAATTTAGTTATACCATAACAAGGATTAATCACAGATGATTTAATTTTACAATAATTCATTGCCTGAAATTGAATATGAAATCAATTAATATTATATAATACACACACTATTGTTTATTTTGGTTTAAATGACAATTACCAACCTCATTAAAAAAATCTTTTCCTGGATTACTTGAATTATTTAAACTTTTTAATACTACATTTTTCTGTTTACGATAACTAAATTCCTTTTTATTTTCATCATAATCAATTATATATCCCCTTGTCCACGTAGCAGTATAAATTGAACTAAATCCACCCTCTGTCAACTTTGTTACTTCTTTAAATTGCTCAAAAGGTACCCATTCTAAAATATAAGTTAGCAAAGATGATTTCATTTGAGATTGTTGAATAAAATCATCAATTATGTTATTCCCAGATGTCCAAGTGGTGAAAAGACCCTGTAGTTGTAAAGTAATACAACCTTCACAAAATCTATCAGAGTATCTTGTTGATTTACATTTGTTGCATTCTTTTGGTTTGCCAAGTTTATATGTTACATTATTTAATTCAGTATCATAAACAAACTTTTCTTTACAATATTCCTTTTCATTTTCAGAAAGCTCCTTGTTTTTTTTGACTAATGAAAAAAAATAATCTTTTCTATTTTCTCTATCAGAATTGACCATTGCATTATTCCACATTTCATTGTTAATTTTAAATACAAATCCCCTTCTTTCTAGTGGTATTAATGATAATAATTTACTAAGAGACATCATATAAAAGTAAATGTATTTATAAGGTTTAAAATTTATTTGACTCAATCTATTATTGTGTTTTATTGAATAGAGTGGAGAAAACAATTTTTTTTGTACTGATAATAACACTAGTCTGTTTATTTATAATTATTCATAATTCTTTATTTACATAATTCTTTATATTATTTCCTTTTACAGAGAATTAATTAATTGAATGGTGTGTAACAAACAATTTTCACATACTCTTTCGCAAACTTCATAGATAGGCTATTACCGCAGCTGGTCAAATTCATGTACAAACCAAATTTTTTGTCAGTGACTATAATAATCTAAAAAAAATTTAATGATCTATTTTCTTGAACTCAGCTCAAACTTGAAAAATTCAAGTTTTAACTTGAGTCTGCTCAAATTAAAAAATAAAGCGAGAAAAGAATGATTCGAATGATTCGAATAAATGAATAAAAAAAACGAATAATTAGAATTATTAGAATAACAAACAATAAAATGAACGAACAAAATGAACAAAATGAACAAAATGAACAAAACGAATAAAATGAATAATTCGAATAGTACAGTCCCCGGCGAAAGTAATGGCGCAAATATTCGAATTACTTATTCAGGCATAATACCATAAAACATTCATTTATAATGTTTATTTGTCATTGAGTCGCGTATATAGATAGTAACCATAAAAGTAAATAAAAAAAATAATGATCACCATCAGTGTTTTTTGTTTACTTTGCCTTGTAAAATGTCATCAAACCCTATTAAAGCCAACCATAATGCCGTTAACTTTCTCTGGAAGCAAAATATTCGTACTCGAAAGAAATTTCGAATAAAACTGGGATCCCATTACGTACATGTCAACAATACGTCACCATATTAAAAAAAAATGGAAAAATTCTGGAAATTCATCGGTCAGGTCGTCCGCGAAAATTATCATCGGAAAAATGGCGCCAACTCGGAATGATCGTCAAGAGTAACCACTATAGGACCGCCACTGAAATGAAAGCTATTTTAGAAGAAAAATACCAAGATCTCGAAGTTAGTGAGAGAACTGTTCACCGTGAGCTTTCCAACCTCAGTTATGTTGCTACTCTTCCCAGAAAAGTTCCTCTTCTAACAGAGCAAGCAAAGATCAACCGCTTGTCATGGGCACAAGATCATGTGCATTACAACTGGAAGAAAGTTGTTTTTTTCAGATGAAACAACTATCCAGTTGTTTCGCAATACGATGTTAGCATGGTCTCGTGAAAAGAAACCTGTCCAGCCTATGGTAAAACATCCCCTTAAGGTTCATGTTTGGGATGTGATCAATTTTAAAGGGAAGGTCGGTATTCATATCTTTACTGAAAACCTTGACCGCCACCTAATGATGTATGACGAAATGTTTTTGGAAATGAGAAACTATTTCATCAAATCACTAAAAAATGACGAAAGACTAAACCCTTGACGAAAGTCAAAACCTTTGACAAAAGTCAAAACCCTTGACAAAAATCAAAATTATTGAAGTCATTGGTGAAACAAAAAATTAAAAGTAAAAACCATATCTAATTTTTATTAAAATATATTATCAAACAATTATTTAAATTTCTGTCTTTTATTTCTTACAATTTCATTATCAACATTTTTTCTACGTAAATTATGTTGTTTTAACATAAGCTTTGACTTTTCTTTCTTTTTTGATACATTGCTTAAATTGCAATTATCATTATTTATGTTAACATTATCTTCAGTCTCCACATCATTATTCCCATCTTCTAAATTACAATCTTCACTTTCTAAGTAATGATTGACTCTGTTTTCAAAATTGTCATTATTTTCAATCTGTAAACTTCTACTTCCGCTTATAAACACATCTTCCTGACATGGGTTTTCAAAACAAAGGTTGTCATCTCCAAATTCAGTACTATGATTCTCAGTATCTAATATATTATTATTTTCATTTTCTAAGTCATGATCCAAAATTCTTGAAACTAAATTATTTGGGTTAAAATTTAAATCATTATTTTGAGTTTCAATATCATAAACTTCATCAATTTCATTACTATTATTATCATTTTTATCAGCAAACACTGTATCATCTAATATCATAATATCATTAACCAATAGCAAGTCTTCTTCATAATTACATTCCAATTCATCTTCATCTTC